GATACCTGTGAAGAGCAGTTGGGTGAAGTGCTTAAAAATCTCTTTTCTGTGTATGGTCTCATGTGCATAATTAAGGCTCATAGATGAAGAGTTTACACCTAGGAGCATTTTGCACAAAACAGCCTGTCCTCACAAAATACAGGTTATAAAAGTCTTTTGCTTGGGGTTTTGCTTACTAGACTGGAGTGTTCCATGAAAGTGCTGAGATGTGTTGCATGAAAGTGCTGAAATGCCGAAGCCGGTATCTTCCTGAAGTTTCAGTTACAACTCACTGAACTCTGGCCCTTCCACGACGTATTAATTTTCTTTAATTAAAGCTAAAGTGAAATTTACATATGGAAAAATTAGAGTGTCAAAGTGTGATTGCGGACTGTTCCCTACTTTTTCCACCACTGGCCCGTTTGGAAAATTTCTGGAGACTAGGAACCTTTGACAAAACAGAACCCAACGTTTTCCAAAGCGGTAGCCGCAGAGTTACAGTGAAAATAGGGCATTGCATTCACTTTAAACATATGAGCCAGTCTTAGTGCAACAGGCATTTGCTGTGCCAATGCTCAGAGGCACCCCACCCTTCAGTCAAGTTGATGACACAACCTTTCTTCCTTGAGCCGAAGGTGAATCACCTTGGCACTTCAAAGATGTTTGAGGGCAGGACATTGCTTCCAGCGGGTTCCGCTTGGGAGATCAATTTTGTTTTTTTAAAGGAAGAAGTCACACAGTGATCACTCTTGGAAAGAAAATACTATATTCCTGCTAGGATGAAATGCTAGGAAGTGGATGTTTCTGTAACAGCTGAGCAAAACCTTTAAACACCAGGGTCACCTAACATATGCTGCAAATAATTCCTAAGAAATGCTGCATTACTATAGGACTCATTTCCATGAAAAAGAGGGAAAAGGAAGGAATTTCCAAACGGGCATATGATCCAGCCAAAGGCTTAGCTCAGCCAACATTCCTGCTAGGCTCACCATGTGCCCTATGTCATGAGGTAGTGCTAGACCATGATTTGCGCTACGCCACGGCCATCGCTGCTTCCCAGAGCAGGAAATTCCATATATTCATTCCATACATTGGAACAATTTCCAGGCTGGCAAGATGAGGTAACCATGTTCTTTTTGAAGCAGCTGAAGAACTGTGCATTTATTCTGCATGGAAATAAATGGAACGCTTAGCAAACGTTTAGCAACCCTGAGTAGGAAATAATACAAGGAAGTGCGATGTTCCCTTGGTTGCGTAATATACCTGGAGATATATGTATGAGGAAAGTTTGTGGCGGTGCTAGAGATGTCTTGATTAGGAAAATGAAGATATTTTTATGGAGATGGAGGCTGAAAACCCAAAGGATCTGCAGTGAACATTAGGAAACTTGTATGATGCAACAAGGAGCATGCATCTGAGCAATAAGCTATCGCAGGGGGTTGGAGTTGCCTGGGAAAATGAACAGTTGCAAGTTATACATCAATGAAGAAAAGCCAGTGCAAGGAGATGAATGTGTGTGCCTTGGTAGATAATTGACTAAAGATGGGGAGAGGGATGGAGGAGTTCGAAGAGGGCCAAATGCTGACAGTGAAGAAGTGGGTAGCACGGTGAGATGAACAAACGCTTGCTAAGAGCATTATGGCTGGGTTTAATAGAGTGCTTCTGTAGATGTGGCCGTGCGAGCTGGGTGTGTCAGGAAAACACAAAACAGGACATGGTCTGCAAGGGGAATGGGTGCATAGGAATCTGTGAGGATAAACAGATGGATGCTGAATTAATGTGGGTTGAATGCAAAAGTGAGTGATAAATATGGAGGAAGTATGTTGACATGATTTGGTCCTACAGAGCAGAGTTTCTCAAACTTGGAGACTTGAAACTTTATTTCACTGTTGCTCAGACTCAGCAACTCAACCTTGGCAACCCAGCGTGCTGGCTGGGGAATTCTGGGAGTCGAAGTCCATGCGTTTTAAAGTTGCTAAGGTATTTATTTATTTATTTTGTTTAATTTTATTTATTTATTTATTTAATTTAGTTTTTTATGACAAAAAGAAGGAAAAAATGCATACCGGTGGTTTAACAAAAAAGTGAAAAAATACAACAAAGAGAGAAAAGTGTTAATATATCATTATAACAATAAACAATTCCAATTCTATATATGTTTATCTAATATGCATATTATTCAAAGACATATATATTTCTAATAGGTTTATATGACTATCATGTTTTTTTTAACCCAGTGTATTTTGTATAAATGAGTCCCATATTTCATTATACTTGCCCATAGAAAGTCTACTTCTATAGGCAATCCACTCATAAGTGGCAAACACCGTCAGGTCTTCAATCTATTGAGTGAATGGGACCATACATTTATCTTCCAATGCTGCAATATCAGTCTTTTGGCCATAATAAGGGCATGGGGAATTCATTTACGTTGCCCAGATGTCAAATTCCATGTACTAGTTACATAGTTCAAAAGAAAATTATCCTCTGAAAATGTTAGCTTTTGTCGCACAATCATATTTATATAGTCTGTTACTTTCTCCTAAAACTTAGTAAGTATAGGACATTGTAAAAACATATGCTTTGTCCTTATTACCTCTCCAACAAAATGCTGTTTTTGACAATCCTTTCCTATATTGACGTAATGGAGTCCAATAAATTCTAAATATTAATTTTTGTTGTATAGGTTGTAGTTTAAGGTCCATTGACACTCTTTCTATAGAAGTTAAGGCACTCTCCCATTGTCTAGGCAATATAGAAATCTCTAATTCTTTATTCCACTCATCCCTTAACATCTGCATATCAAATGGATTTATTGATAACAAATATCTATACAAACGAATAGTAGGTTTCTTAGTTTTAAAGGACTTAACAAGTTGCTAAGATTGAGAAACACTTATATGGAGAGTATAAATGAGGACTGAATCACACAACTAATATATGAAGGCAAAGTGAATTATGTATAGATGTATATTTGTGATGGATTGTAATTTGCAAGAGTTTATGACATGCTCAAGAACTGGGTTTGCTGGTGGTGATAAGCCAAGGTTTGCTTAAGCAAGAATTACTAGATAAACTGAACACCTAAGGCAAACCTGGTAGAACCATTTTCTGATTTACCTCCTGGGATGAATCCAATTAATCTGTTAGATCAGAGGTGGGGGACACAGGCCAGAATCCCAGAAGCTGCTAAACTAGAACTCCCAACAGTCCCATCAAGCATGGCCAGTGTCGAGGAATGCTGGGAAATGGAGTTCAGCAACTCTGGAAGGTTCTCACTTCTCTTGCATCATGATACTATCTGTGCAACATTTTTTTATTTTGCTTTTGTTTATGGTCTATCCTTGATCTATCAGTTCCATGACGATGTTGCCAATTCTATTATTCTGAAACCCAGAGAAAGAGAGAGAAACCAAATACTCTTCATTTTTTCCATGCTGGCATCAGTTCATAAACTTGGCTTCATCTTCTTCCCAGGAATTTCTCCCCAACTCTTCTCAATGCACGAATCTTTCCAGAAAGCAGTGATGGTCGCTTGAGTCACTCTCCTTCGCATCGTTAGCCTTCATATGGATTTGGTGGTGCTGGCTCAGCTTGAGTTGCATTTGGATTTTCAGAGGGAAATTGCAGGATACCCACCTAGGATTTCACTGGGGGAAGGATGGGATCCTGGTTGGAGTTAGGCTGGATTAAGTCTCATTGTGGGATTCACTTCCTGTGATTGTGCATCTGGTTTCTTAGCCTGTAGATTATTTTGTTTATTGGTTATCATGACTATTTTGGTTGTTGGACCTCCAGGTGGCCTATCTGGGGCTCCCCCCTCCAATTTTTCCTCCCACCAACAACCCTGTGAGGTAGCTTGCGGAGAGACAACAACTTGGCCAAAGTCAACCAAGGAGCTTTGGGGCTGAGAGAGTTCTTGCACCTGGCTCTCCCTGGCATTATTCTGGTCTTTTAAGCCTGCAACTGAAAGGGATTGGATGAGCCCCCAACCCTGTGGTGAAACCATGCTAGCTCTCCAGCCCCATTGCCAATTGCTAAGCCCCCTTGCCCCTCCCCGCATCATCTGAGCAGGGACCTGGCTCTCCTTTGGGTTGTGGGGGCTGATGCATATCAGTCTCTGGCAGCCACGATCCCTTTGCAAAGGAGGAATGGAGGAAGAGAGCTGGTAGGAAAAAGGAGGCTAGAGAGAGAGACACAGGATGGAGAGAGAGAGAGAGAGAGAGAGAGAGAGGGGGGGAGAAATATTTGGGGGAGAGGGGGGGGGGGGGCTGCATTGGTTCACTCTGCTAACCTGCTTCTTGGGGCTCCTGGGGTCTCAGTCTAAAGTGCCAGGGAAAGGCAAATGCCTTTCTGGAGTTGAGCTGCGTTCCTGCAGGCTTCAAAGACATGCGGGACAGATTTGGGGGCAACTGCCCAGAAGTGGCCTGACTTCAGCAGGAGAAGGAGAGAGACAGTTGGCGCACTGAAGCCAGCTGTGGTTTGTTTGAACCAGGTTTGTTGAGTAAGCGGCTGGGAGATGCCTTTTGCTCCGTCGCAAACCCAGACGCCTGAATTCCCAAGACAAGCGCACAACCGAAGGGCGGGATGGCTCAGCGTCAGGTCCGAACCATTCCCCCTTCTCCCCAGAAAGGATGCCGGCGGCGGAATGCGCCTGCCCGCGCGCGATCCCGAGCGCCTGCGCCCCCCAGGCCGCCGGACTGCCTCGCCCATCATCCGCAGGACCAGCAGCGCCTCGCATTGCCCCCCCTCCTCTTCCGCTGCCAGCTCACCGCCCCCGCCCGCAGCGCTTGGTGCGGAAAACTAGCGGGCCAAGGGACGGGGAGGAACTTAAGCGCGGGAGCCTCCGCGCCGGCCTCGCGGCTCTCAGCACCTGCCCATTCCCGCTAGAGGTGGACTTCGGTCCGGGCGCTGACGTCACCCCTCGCCCTTACCTGCTCCTCCGCGCAGCCGAGCCCCGAGGAAGCCTGGACGCGCCTCCCGCGGCCGCTCTGCGCTGGGTTTGC